TTTATATTGGTTGTTATTTGTTAGCAGTTATGATGTAAACACCAAGGGCAGATATGTCCTTTCATGTAACTAGCATAACCTATATATATTAACTTAAAGTGGCGACGGCAGAATATTTGACATTCTGTTCTTCTCCTCAAAATTTGTGTTCTATTGCTCTTCCATCACTCTTTCTTCTACATCTTCTTCACTTTTTCTTCTCATCGAACCTAAAATCTCTTAGTGATCAAGACTGAATAGCAGTCTTGAAAACCTACATTTATTATTGTTTATTGATTTATTATTATTTTTGTATTATTTTTAGGTTAAATAAAAAAAAGCATCCTCTTATAACAATTCTATAAACCACCTTTGTGTTTTGACCCTAACAAAAGCCTCCCCTATAATTGAGAAAAAAAAGTGCAAATACCTCATTTCCCTTGACTCTTCAGTAACAAAGACATTGAAGTTACCAAAATACCCTTATCATTATCAATGCATTATCATACATAATTTAAAGTTTCAACTTTACCCTCCACTTATTTACTTTGCAAGACAACTTTCAAAGAATAATTCTCCTTACTCTTTTTGGACAAAGGTAAAAAGGCTGAAGTGAAGTAAAATTAATGCATTACATCAACATTTTTTATTTGGATTGCTGACGAAAGGAAGGTATTTGCACCTTTTTTCAGAAAAATAGGGGAGGTTTTTGTTAAGGTCAAAACATTGGGGAGTTCCGTAGGATTGTTAGAAATCATCAAACTATTGCAAATTGGAGGCAGACAGTCCATCCCATTTATAACCCATTGGCTCCCAGTACTGATATCCAATACTATTGCTTCCTCTTCTGCATTTTGCTTGTTTCAACTCTTCTCTTTTGATCCTATGTATGCAAAGAAGCCAACAAACCCAAGCATCTGCCCCCTAGTCCTCCCTCTACCAATAGTAGGACATCTCCATCTCATTGGACCCTTACTGCACAAATCCTTCCAAAGCTTATCCAGACAATATGGACCTCTCATTAGTTTAAGTATGGGTGCTTCTCCCTGCATCATTTTGTCCTCGGCTGCCTTGGCCATGGAAGTCTTCAGGACCCATGACCTCATGTTTGCATTTCACCCAAAATTCGCTTCCACCCAATTCAGCTTTCAGCATATACAATGGTTCTAATTTCTTCACTGCACCATACAACACTTATTGGCGGTTTATGAAGAAACTCTGCATGACAGAGCTGCTTGTAAACAGGCAACCTGCTGGGTTCGTGGGTGTAAAGCAAGAGGAGATCCAACAGTTCCTGCAGAGACTTTTGGAGAGCTCTGAAAGTGGAAAGCCAGTTAATGCGGGCGCTGGCTGAGCTCACAAGACCGACAAACATCATATGCAGAATGGCAATGAGCACAAGTTGCTCAGCGAGCACTGACGAGGCTGAAGAGGATAGAAAATTTAGTTATGAGATTGGAAAGTTAGGAAGGAAACTTGGGGGAGATCATGGGTCCCTTGGGAAAATTAGACCCATTCGGTATGGGAATAAGTTAAGAAATATGATCATTCAGTTTGATGAACTGTTGGATAAGGTTTTGAGGGAACATGAGAAGGATGGTGCAGAGGCTACGTACTAATGAAAGAAAAGATTTGGTCGATATTCTCTTAAAGATATCTAAAGATGAGAAAGCTGAGTATAAGTTGACAAGAACCAATATCAAAGCCTTCTTGTAAGATCATCATTTACTTCTTACCTTTTTATCTGCTTTCATCTTCTCTTTCTTTTTGATTCTATAGCAATCACCTGAAATCCTAACTAATGTCCTTATTCCTTAAGTTAGAATTTTGTTTTTGTGCCAGGATATTTTTGCTAGGGGAACTGAGACCTCAGCCAAAGCCATGCAGTGGACACTGGCCATGCTCATAAACCACCCTGATATACTCAAGGTCAGAAAAAAAGATAGAGCTAACAGTTGGAGAAACAAGGTTAATCCAAGAATCAGACATCCACAATCTTCCTTACTTGCAAGCGGTCATAAAGGAAACACAAACTATTCCCTGTATTTCCCACCATTGGAAGAAAATGCACAAAAGACTGCAAAATTGGAGGCTATGATGTAAAGAAAAAAAAAGCAGGGTTCTGATAAATCTATATGTAATCATAGGACCCAGACAAGTTCCGGACTGAGAGGTTCCAGATGAAGTCCAGAGAGAACTTACAGAGACAAGAGGAAATCAAGAATCAAAGTTGTAAATTCCTACTATTTGGGGAAGGCGAGGCTGCCCAGGAGCATCACACGCATATACCATCATGCACCTTACAGTTGCCTCAATGGTTCAGTGCTTTGATCGGGTCAATGGAGATGATAATGGCTCAACAGAAGTCAGGTTGGAACAGGGAACAGGATTCAACCTGCACATGGCGCACCCACTACTCTGCTTTCCCATACCTGTAGCCAAATTAGAGACACTCATCGCTACAGTGCTATAAAATATGGAGTTACAGACAGAAGTAAATCTGATAATACGTATACTAAAGATCAGAGTATCATACCATTTAAAGTCAACTTTTATATCCTCATCCTTTTTTTCTTTACTTGCACCCTTTATACCAGTGTACGGAAATATGGATAAAGATCCCACTATTTTATGTTAAATAAAAAAGGAATTGATTTTAGTCAGAATTTAGAAGGGATTTGGCCATTGTAGTCGGCTTTTGCATCAACTACACAACCTAAATAGGTCTAGTTTGTTTGAAATGCAATTTCATTTTATTTGATGTACAAATTATGGGAGTTGAAATGAGTTAAGAGTCCAGATTTTGGTTTAGCCTTGCTATAGGTGTGGCTTAGGTTGTGTTTGACATAAAATGGCTCTAAGTCAAGAATAATAATGGGGATTTGTTGATAGAACAATCCTCAAACCAAATTCATCTGATCCTCTATAATTTTCTGCTTGGATGTGCGTTAACATGTTAGCTTCCTGGCTACTAAATTCAATTCACAAAGACCTTGCCTCAGACCTCAGTATGCTCTGTGTCATTAGAGTCAATCCCCACTCGAGTTCCCATCAAACACGGAATTCAATTGCTGTCAAAGACGCAAACCTGAAGGGAAAAGATAATTATTTATCGATTATATAGTTTATTACGATCTGTAAAAAACGTAAAGCCGAAAATACAGACCTCACTAACGAGGCTTACTTGTTACCACCTTCAGTCCTACTCAATCAAAGAAGCAAATAATGAATGGTTGATTTGTAACTGTAGCACCATTTCACAGTTAAATAAACAGCATTAGTAAGCAGAATTCTATTCTATTCAAATTCCCAAAAGCCAACGATTTACATGACCATTGATCGAACATTATAAGTGAAGAACAAAAATAACAAGAGAGTAATAGAATCGAGGCACAACAGATTCTCCTCCCTCACGCCCTCTCGCCACGAATCCTGCGGGCAAGCTGGATATCTTTAGGCATAATGGTGACCCTTTTGGCGTGAATGGCACAGAGGTTGGTGTCTTCGAAGAGACCCACCAAGTAGGCCTCGGCGGCTTCTTGAAGAGCAGCGACGGCGCTGCTCTGGAAACGCAGATCTGTTTTGAAGTCCTGAGCGATCTCACGGACGAGACGCTGAAAGGGTAACTTTCGGATCAAGAGCTCCGTACTCTTCTGGTATTTTCTGATCTCACGAAGAGCAACGGTTCCAGGCCTGAACCTGTGAGGCTTCTTCACTCCTCCGGTCGCCGGTGCCGACTTTCGAGCCGCCTTAGTTGCCAGCTGCTTTCGGGGAGCCTTCCCTCCTGTTGATTTCCTTGCAGTTTGCTTAGTACGCGCCATCTCTAAGCTCTCTGAGTCTCTGTTCGACGAACGAAAATAGATACACACGACCGACTATCGACTTCTATCGCAGTTCTCTGCTATCTGGTCTGCAACTCTGCGGTGGTTTTATGCAGAAACAGAAACGCGGGAAGTAAAAATTTTTGTATATTTGTGGCCGAATAGAGCGGTACGATTACCGTTCGATTACCAATATCATCGACGGATGAAATTTGCTGAAGGAGATTAACACGGATCGCAATCCCTGGTTTATTTCCGCTTACGCAATCCCAAGCGAACACAGCGAGATGGGCAATTGGGCTTGGGCATGCTGAGGCCTGAGGGTTTGGACAAGTCCAACCAAGTCTCCAATAGGAAACTCAATGGATCCGGCCCATGTTTACACAGATCGAATCCAATTAATGGGCTTGGACTTCGTAGCAGTGTTTTCGAATCGCCATTGACCAGGCAGTCGGCCTGGGAATTATTCAGGCAACCGGTTCTGTTTCATCTCAAATCTGGTCGTTGGCCAAAAAACCTTTGACTTGGTTAATGATCTGTTGACTTGGGCAGTCAAACTGTCGATCCGTTTAACAGTTTTTAGCATTTTTTTATTTTTTAAGTTGGAACAGGTCAACTATTCAAACTGAATGGTCGAACTGTCAATCCATGGTCATAACAGTTTCAGATCAGTCTTTAAAACCTTGCTTTGTAGAGGTTCTAGAGCTGATCCAAACACAACAACAACAACACAGACCGACTAAAATTAGGATTACCAAGAAAAGAAGAAAAAAAAACACACACACACACACAAACAGAACTCCACAGGGGAGGGTGCAAGCGAACACGATCTGACTCTAGACAACCAACCAGCAAACTCGGCTCGACACCAACTAATAAACAAGAAAAAAGAAAGACCCTGCTTGGAAGCTAGGTGAGCTACTCTATTACAGTCCCTATCAAGGTTTTAAATATCAACACAGGTCGATATGTCGGTGCTTTTTTTATGTTTTATTTTTTTTTCAAAACTGGTTCAAAGGGGTCGGTTTAAGTCCCAACTAACCTCAAAACCATGGTCTGACCTGATACAACCTCTGTATAGTTGTATCAAGAAGCTCCCACCACAATATGTATCGGTCGATACGGGCTAATATGCATCGATACTTTGAACCTTGATCCCTATTAACCCAAGAGAAAGAAACATTGATATTCCTTCTTTTAGATAGAAGTAAATATCTTTGGGGCATTCTACATGACCATTCTGAAGAAACTTCACAAGTTGAAAATTTTCTAGGTCCAAATTATTGAGAGCTAGATGAATTGCTTCCTTCATGGCAAGAAGTGGGGAGCTCACAAGAGACTGACTACGTATGTGTTTGGTTTTGTGAGCATTTATGGATAGACTGATTATTTATACTTTTTCACTTAAGCATTTATTTGTACTTTCTCACTTTAAACATTTCTTTTTTTGTTGTTTGGTTAGACTTCACTTTAAACGTTTCTCTACTCTCCACCATCATTAAAGTATGTCACATCAACATTTAGTTTCAAGAAAAGCTGGGGCGTTGGGGGAAACAAGAATTTGACATTTCCCCAAATGCCCCATGCACAAAAATCAAAGTGTTTCAGTTTTCTACCATTTATTTGATAAGCAGTGAAACCAAACAGTTGTTTCATTTTGCTTCATATACAATAAACGCCAATGCCTATGTGGCACTATTTGTGGTGGTGTTTTCTCAATAAACACTCATAGAACCAAACACAACCTACAACAAACAGAAACACATGGGAGCATTTCTCATCCAACCCCAGCTACAACTCCAAAAGTGGCATTGAAGTGTTTGACAAAACTCAAAAGCACCATTAGTGTTGAACTTTATAGATCTGATCTCCCATGGCTTCCAAAAGGGTAAAATACAAAAATCTCCCCAGAAGTTCTTGACAATCATAAAAACCTCCCCTATAGTTTCACTTAGCAAAAACCTCCATTTTATTTTCAAAAAAGTCAACAAATATCTTCCTTCCATGAGTGACCATGACAGAAAACATTTAACGGATCATCTTTTTTTTTCAAAATACATATTTTAGCCTTTTATGAATTATTATACACCTTTTTTACTAAAATACCCATGTCTATATATTATATATTCAGTGCCTTTTCTTCTTATCCCCAGTTTCACCTTTTTTTCTATTTGAAGAGAACTGAAGAGGAACGAACCCAGGAATAACAAACTTAGTTTCCCCTTCTCCGCTACCTCCAAATATCACAAGTCTGTCATCATATGACTCTCACGAGGGGAAGGTGGGGTCCCTTCACATTTGTGTTGGGTCCATTCTTCTGTTCTACGATCCAATGTATGAAGGTCATTTACCTTCTTAGAGCCATTGGTACCCCTAAAACTATCATCCTAATGCCCCACGAGTGCTGCACTGTGGCTGTCTTTTGTACTAGGCTGTTGATGAGTAGTTATAAGGGTGATCCATGCCATTGTTTCAAGATTAAGCATGAGAACATCACTGAAATGCAGCCCTCAACAACAACCCTGAAATTGAAATAGGTAGAAGGAAAAAACAGTAGAAGAAATAAGAATGTATAATGCAAATGGAAGGTGAACTTTTAGTTCTTGGAAAGGAAATCCAGATTTTCTCTATTCCAGAACGATCCTAACTAGGTAATTTGCTAGAAAAAAAAAATAGACCATATACCAGGTTTGAGATGGTTCTTCCACTGCTCGAGATAGGATTTGGCATCTCGGTGCAAGGGTTTGCCCATGCATTGAGAGATGAGGTGCCATTCCTTTGGGCCATATTGTTTAACGAAGGCGCGGAGGAGTCTGTCTTCTTTGGTTGCCAATGTTGCCTCTCCTTCATCTCTCCTAACCAACATATCTCCTGTTGCTGCAGCTTCTTCTCTTCTGAAGAAGACGAAGATAACAATTCACCATCTAAACCCACATTTTTTTTCATTTCCTTTTATCTGATGTAGAATTGGAAGTATGGGCTTTAAGCTTTGGAGTTAAATCAAGAGGGTTGAGACATGACAGAGAAAGAGAGAAGTGATGAGATAGTAGCCAGCGCCAACAAAGTGAGATGGCGACGGGACGAGAGATGAATGATCAAGTATGGTAATTTTCAAATAGGTCAGATGAATGACGTCTGTGGGTAAAAATGTAATTCTACACGATTTCTATCTTGGTCATTGACAGAAGGGAGGTATTTGTTAATTTTTTTGAAAATAGAAAGGAAGTTTTTGTTAAAGTAAAACTACAGGGGAAGTTTTTATGATTGTTAGGAGCTTCAGAGGAGGTTTTTTGTATTTTACCCCTTCCAAAAAGATTGTTGATGACCAAGAACATCAGAATGGAGGGCTATTGGCTTCTCCATCAGAACTACTTTCTTCTCCTCCTTCACATGCCTACTCACCAAGGGCAAGAATATCTGATAGGTTTGGCTCTTCATTATTAAAAATACAATTAATTCTACCCAACCAAACATTCCACAACCATATCAAGAGTTGAGAATCTCTCATTCAGAATGGAGATATTTACAATTAATCTAACTAGGGGTGTTCATTACATGGTCCAAAATTTGTAATTTGATTGTCTGAATATAAAAATAATTTGGTTTAGTAACCGAGTAGAATGAAACTTGGTATCAGGTTGCTAGTTCGACTCAAAAAATATAGAGCTCGAAACTCAACTCCAACTAAATCAAGTATCATGTTTTTTGGTTCAAACTCGAGTCGATACTCCAACTTAATATTAGAAATATTAAAATTATAGATAAGTTAATATTATAAATACTATAAATAAAAATATATTATAAAAATAAATTATAAAGTTATTTATTTATCTATACTATATAAATGCACTTTCTTCCCTTCCAAATTTTGCTCTAAAATCTACATTCATGTTTTTTACAAATTTTTTCAATTTTTTTATTTTAAAACTCTATGTAATTAGACGTGTTCACACATCAGGCTTCCCACCCCCAACAACCTCAAAGTTGTGAGAAGTGAGGAGATTCAGTGACAAATTTCAAAATTCTGGGACTCTTTCCTTCCAAATGAACAAATCTGACTTGTCAAAATTCTTGAAAGAGAAGTTGGAGGGTCTCTGTTTTTGTGTGGTTATGGAGCAAAAGGTGAATCATCACCACCGTCCATCTCAAAAGATACTGCCAGTGCTTCTAATATTGTCACCCCATTAGGTGATGATCCATGCTCCAAAAAAATTGTTTTTTTTTTTGTGTTCATCTAAATTTGATATTTTTTTCTTTAATTGTTTTTTGTTTATTGGCTTTACTTTAATTTGCTATAGAAATGAACACCTTTCCTTTGAATTAGTTTTTTTCCTTTACAAGGTATCATCGTGATTCTTATTGTTATATGCCCATCTTAACATTGTTTATGGGCTTAGAATATAGAGTTTCGAAGTAGAGCAGTTATAGAGTTGTAGCTAGGGGTGGCCATGAGCCGAGCTTATCACAAGCTATTTGAGCTCAATTCGGCTCAATCTAAACCAAGCTTCGAGCACAATATATAGGCTCATTTGCTAATCGAGCCAAGATCAAGACCGATAAAATTCAATTCGTGAGCCTAATCGAGCTTATATATAATAAAAAATGTTATATATAATATTTTTACTTTTTATATATAATAATAACTAGTTTTTGTAATTCTTAATTTTTTATATGTCAAATAAAAAATATTTATATATATATAATTTTTTATTTCTATAAAACATTTAGCTCACAGTCGAGCTCGAGCTTACGAACTTTTGACTCAAGTCGAACTCAAGCTCAAGTCTCTAGCTCGAATTGAGCTTGTGCCTCATACTTTATTGGCGAGCTGAGCTCAAATAGCTAGATTTTCGGATCGACTTGGCTTGAATCCACCCCTAGTCATAGAATTCAAAGACTTGGAGCTTGGATGGACATTCATAGAACAAAGTGCAAAGCACTCAAAACAGGGTATTTCGACGCCATTTCGGTATCCCAGGTATGTTATCATGTTCTTCTAACGTCATTCCAATGTCTACTGGTGTCAAAAACTATTTAAATAATTTAATCCTTAAATTATTTGGGAAACTATCTACATTAGATTCTATTATTAGTTCCTAAAATTATTTAATATTTATTTCAGCAAAT